AAATGAATAGAGTGCAAGTTTAAAAGGGGCAATTTTTTTTTATAAAGAATACAATTAGAATAGAAAATAAACAATAAAAAAATTAAAATATTTCAAATTATTGAAATGAATTAAATTATTATTTAAAATTATTAAAAATAAATGTATTTAAATAAATAAAAATATAAAATAAATGATATACTTGAATAGAAAACGGTTCATTTAAACTGTAATAATATTTCACAATATTACTGTATTACTTATCAAATTAATGCAGCCTTGGTGAGCATAAGAGACTTCTTTTAAAACATAAAAAATCGTACTTACTTAAAGCTTTTGAATGGCTAGCGTAGGTGCATCAAAAGAATCCTATTATAATTTCATCTTGTTTTTACAGCTCATCATTTCCTGGGAAGGACAAAAATAAATTAACTCTACAGGTAAGACAACAGCCGAAGAAGGAATATGAATGTACATTGACTCACTCTCAAGAAAACTTGATTTTTTTTTTATCAGAAGCAGTGATACATTTGTTTATTTTATATTGTTATGTTCCTGCAGCAGAAATTTGTGCGTTGTTCTGTCAGGGCTGAGGTACGACATCTGAGGAAAGTGTTATGTCATCGACTTAACGTGGAAAAACATCAGGTGTGACTTTTTTTTCTTTGTCTTACTTTATAGAGCCATTGCTTTTACATTTACATACCAGAAAGCCACATAATTGTGGAAGTTTTACATCACATTCAGTTCAGTCATTCCTATTTTATCTATCTATCTATCTATCTATCTATCTGTCTATCTGTCTATCTGTCTGTCTGTCTATCGATCTATCTATGTCTATCTGTCTGTCTGTCTATCTATCACGCTAAAATAGAATTAATAGAAATGACATTTTAGATGAATGTCATTTCAATGGCATCTCATGATGTTTTTGTGGCTTCTGGTCTACTAATTTAAATAATTATTTATTTCTAACTATATGCAATTGCAACCTGGTATAAAATTCATTCAGTATACAAAATAGTACAAATGAATGTGCTTTTCTGTTGAAAATGAAGTAGGATACAAAGAATTCACCTATTTTCTTTCACTGCGCTTACAGCTGATTAGTCTGTTGTTAGTGAATGTAACTAAGACACTGTATTAGACAAAAAGACTACTTTTGATTATGTAAATGCATGTATGATTTGTACATCCCAATTAGGACAATTTGTTGTCCAATTCTATAATAGAAAGAATCAAAGTTCAGATAGGACGACCAGCTAAAAATACATTTTTTAATTGTGAAATGTAGTTAGAGAGATAGATTTTAAACTAAACCTCTCATTGTTTTCTTTTCCATCCTCCTGCCCTGTTGTCTTCTCTCTTCATTGTGTGCTCTTTGTTGCACTGCAGGTCCAGATGTTATTCAATAACGAGTCTCTCCCAGATCACATGACCATGAAACGTCTCTGGCTGTCTCACTGGTTTGGAAAGGTATTGTAGCCCCAAGCGTCTCCAGCTAATTCATACCGCATTCTTTCACACTATCAGACCATTTGCATTTCCCTGTAGGTGGGATCTTCATTTCTGTAGCAATTTACTGTGCTCTGTTTTACTCACTGAAAGGGGAATCACAGGCAGAGATTTATTAGTACTAGGAGAAGCCATATGCTTGATGTCGCCTTGTGGTCTGAAATATGCAATGGAAGTGCTATTCTCCATATTGTTTCATGGTTTGTGGGGCGTCAAAGCGTTGTGAGAATTTAGCACAAGTAATTCCATGCTTCATATGTTTTTAAGTGCGACGGATGAAGTTCTGCCCGCAGTCTCTGTTTAGTGTCAGTCAACACTACTGATACTTTGTTAAACCTTTCATTCATGTTCTAATGTTTTCCTCTTTGTCTCCCTTTCAGGCACAACCACTGGTACTCCATTATGCTATAAAAGACAAACGGACAAGATAGGATTATGTGAAAATATCAATTGGTGTAAATATTTTGTATTTCACATATTCTATTTTAATAGCTTTCTGTGCATATATACTTATTTTTTTGTTTTGTATTTTTGAAAATAAATTTCAAGTGGTAAAAAAATATTGGGTTCATTTTGTATTATATTTTGTTGTGTCCTTTTCTCTTTTTTTAACTTAAATTACTTCAGTGCAAGATTTAAAAAATTATATGATCATTGTATGAACACAAATTATGTGTAGCCTTGTTAAAATCGAAATGAAGACTTTGTAATTTGTATTTAGATCGCCAGTGTTTTTAGAAATGAACCACTAGGGTGCAGTGTTGGTCTTCAAGAGAGCCTTGCTAACACCGATCTCCTTCAGTCACCTCACGATGACTATTGGGATCATCTCAAGGCATTTTTCATCTCAGAATATATATATGTAGCGGTCTGAAGATACAATGAAAACCTTAGGCACAATGTCGAGTAGAATCGCAGTAGCCTACTAGTATAAAAACTTGCTTTTATATAACTCATTCATACCATCATCACACGACGGGAAATTAATTCTGCTGTAACTTGTGATTGAAAAACGCTTTAGAAAATATACTGTCAGACATAAAAATCAATAGATGTTCTGTTGATCAATATAATTTTGGGGAAATGCTCGGGTATGCTATGTTTAGGCTACGTAAATTTCTTCTCATATTTTATTATTTGCCAGGTAAATTTGACATTTATCTCCACCAGGTAATCTTTGTAGGCTACAATGTCGTTTTTTTTCTTTCTATCTTTATTTATTTTTTTTAAATGTACAACTTCTTTCTCCATGTATTTGTTCTTTAGACCAAATGGCTAAGACCAAATTTATTTTAACACAATAAATTCGTTCAGATTTACAGCTGACTTAGGCTAATCATTTTGCGTGTCAAACATGTAGGCTAGGCCTACAATACTGTTACTTCGTGCCATTTTGTTAACAGATTGTAGTATTATCGCAATATGAATAGCAGGCTATTTTGTTCCTCTTGTAATGCATTAAATCATCTAGAATACAATCATGTTACGCATTAAAACACACGACTCTGCTCCTCTCTGCTTTCATCGAATAGCCTATTTTTAAGAAAATGAAGTATTACGTAGCCTACATTTTCGCAATTAGGCCTACTTTATTTTAAATGAAACATTCAGGCTACATAGGCCTATAGCTTATATACGCATATAAATATAACCATTGAAGAAAACGAAATCAAATGTAACGCGTCATTTGTACAGGCCTCTAATGTAATTTAGACTTTTTTTTCGCTATTCAAAAAGGCTACCAATAGCCTACATAACGTCGAAAACTGATTAAAAACAGATTCAAGCGCTGCTTGATTTTGTTCGTTTTTTCTTTATAATAACTAATAACCTTAAATAAATGTTTAACGAATGTAGACTAAAAGATGATGATGATAGTGTTAAATAACATTCAATAATAATGAAGTGGGCTACGTTTCTGTAAGCATTAATTGATTTATTATTATTATTATTATTGTTATTTCTGGCATTCGTTTATCATATTGAATTTTCCATTAAGACTTTAAATGAAAACAGTAGGCTAATTGTTTTAATATGGACTTGTTAGTAACATCTGTTACAAAGCACAAACTGCGTTTCCATGCGTCTGCCCGTGTGCAAATCCACTAATAACTAGGCTACTTTAACCGCCTTTCACATGCATGAAAAGTTTAACTATGTAGGCTACATTTTTGCAGAAATTCTATTTAGGCTAACACGGCGAATCTTGCTGTCTAGAGTGAAACTGATCTATCGTCCAAGGGACCTTTCAGAGCTGTTAACGCGCTTGGATGTTTGCTCGTATATTTTCACACTGTGAAATCACGGCTTTCAATCGTCGTAGTCCAACCGCATTCATATTCATATAGGCTACCATCAAATTCCAGTCATCTCGACGATCAGTTGGAACCCGAAGCATTTGAGCTATTGTGCGGATTTCAATCGCAGCAGAAAACACAAAACAGCGCGAGAATGTGCCGCTGCCTCGACAGCTCTGAGAACTCCGGCTCTCTGGTGAGTCTTTCCACAAAGCGCTCATAAAAATCTAGTTGACTTTTCAACCCCAACTATTCCAAGCGATTAGGCCAATTGTACTTCCATCTTCTCGCTGCCCCAAAACTGCTGCCTTGATCTGCTCACAACTGACACAAATGGGCCGAAAGAAATTCGGCAGACCAGGATGCAGCAGTCCTCCCCATTTCCACCGGCTTCCTATTGAGATTTATTCATTAGGAACCGCATGCAAATCATCTGCTATTCATGGACGTTTTTAACACACGGGCACAGATGTGGGGTATTATTTGGGCTCGACCGACTGAAACTGTTATTGCGCGCTCAAAGGCGGGTTAACCTAATCAATCATGTTGACTAGTTTGTGTTAGAGAAGATTCATAAACCATATGGCGCCAGGAGGAAAGCAAGCTTTATGTTGTCCTCGTGACAATGTGAGAGGGGGAACCTTATTCAATTGTCCTAATTAAGCTTCAAGCACTTAACACAAACAAACACTCTTCTTAACACACACAATGGCGCGATGTGTAAAAGTTCTCTGCCTCCCTCAGCTGTTTAACTCCACGAGTGTGCCATAAAATAAAACATTTTATGAATGGCAGCTTATCCTTATTACACTGTAAAAATCATGCCACTAAAATAGTAGACCAAAACTTAAATTTAATCGCTGCCTTAAAATTTTAGGTGGTCCTAAACGTTTTCAACCACTTTGCAATTTAATTACTGATGAGAAAAGAAAAAAGGATAAAAAAGAGAGAATTATTTGTGGTGAGAAAAAAAATGTTGTGGCATAATTATGTATATAAAAAAATAAAGTGATTTTGAGATATCTTGCAAAAAAAATTAGATTGCCTATATCCACAGGGTTTATAGGGAAATTATTATTTCATAATTCAGCTCAGCATACAATGCATGATTAAACTTTGACTCAAGGTAAGGAAACATTGTGAAATTGCATATACCCTTTATTTACATAAATGAGGATTAAATAGAATGTTACAATAAATTTAAGGAGTTAGATGCATCATAACTTGTCATATATACACACAACCTTGCCCTTGCATTGTTTTGGACATACATTTTAATTTTGTAATAATTTGTTAATAATGCCAGTAGGAAATGTGCAAGGAACTGGGATATATAATGTAAAACTTTGGGAACGGAGTTTTGACAATTACAATGTAGAAACAAGATTGAATAAATTCGCTTTCTGATGACTTCTGAAATTATTTATAAATATATAATTCTATTCAGCTGAGAATTTAATTGAAAATCACTTTTGGCATAGAGTTTCTACAGCGGTCATAAATGTGTTGAATGGTGTAAACAATTGCACAATTTCTTTCGAAAATCGAGAAATAAAGCTTAAAATGTACATACACATGTTGCAGTCTTGATACTGTACCATTTATCTCTAAGCATTTCTCAGATCTTATGAAAGTGTATTCCTTAAACCATGTCTTCGATCTGGACATCAGAACGTAGAGGTCATTTCAATAAATTAAAAATAAGGGAGACAAAACTTTCCTTGCATTTCAAGTTCTTCTGCAGAGTCCGTGCAAAAGTTGTGAAAAATGCCCTTCTCTGAAAACAAGGGCCTGCTTTTAATCGTCCACCTCGATTTCCTCATCCTCCTCTGAGAACTCGTCTGTGGTTTGGCCTCTGGACGAGGACGGGGACTGTGGAAAGGCTCTTGGGGAAAGGCTGGGAGAAATGGCCCCTGAGCCACCGTGAGGGTCTTCCATGTCCTCCATGGACACCAGTTTCTGCAATGCCTTTGGCGGGATTTTCTTGAGAGACTCCACATCCGCCTTCATTTCCTCCAGGTCTCTCTTGAGCTTGGCCCGTCGGTTCTGGAACCAGGTGATGACCTGCGCGTTGGTCAGACCCAGCTGCTGTGCGATCTGGTCTCTGTCGGCCGGTGACAGGTATTTCTGGTACAAAAAGCGCTTTTCCAGCTCGTAGATCTGGTGGTTGGTGAAGGCCGTGCGGGACTTCCGTCGTTTTTTGGAGGCCTGTCTTTGGCCGAAGGCGTTGTGATGTTCGCGACCTTTAAATGGAAAGAAAGGAGAGTTGATTTCCAGGAATACATGACAGGAATAACGCAGGCGGCGTGTGTGGGTCACAATTCAGAATAACTTTCATCAGTAAGTCATTCCCAGACACTGTAAAGCCAATGCTCATTCCGTAAACTGAAATGTGAACTCACAGCAAAATGTGCAAATTTCCCATTATTTAAATGCACATTGACTATTGATTTGTGAAGCATTATTCTTGAAGGTTATTTGGAAGCTCTTTGATGGTCCTATTTTTGGCTGTACATGGTTCTTGAGTGGATATTTGGTTCTCTGGAGATTAAAAAGTCTTTAATGTTACATTATCGGTTCTTTAGATCAGTGTTTTGGATTCTAGGATCTTTCAAGCAACATACTGTAAATGTTTATTTTGTTTTGTAGAACTTAAAAAGGTTCTCCTTTGGAATCAGGCTGCAAAATCCTGTTTGGTTCAAATTAGAACCTTTATTTTTAAGAGTGTACACACTGTTGTGTTATGTGATAGGCTGCAGTTGTTCATTCCAGCTGCATAACAGCTGTTCTTGAAAAGAGGGGGAGAAACTTTCTAAAACATCTGAACTATTGATTGCCAAGTAAATTCGAAATATTTGATGTGTTAATCAAGCAGCCTATCATGCCACAGAACTGGCCTCAATCTTATTACAGACGACCTTAACCGTTAGCGTGACCCACTAAGACAGTTCTGCAATGTCAACACGAACGTCATGATCGAGGACTGTTTTCAGTAAATGTGTCAAGTGAACATGAATGATTTCCATCTCTTTAACATTCTTGTAAAGGCACGGTGCGTTCTATCATGCTAAGCTGTATTTCTGAAAACAAAGGTTTGGAGCATTTTTGAGATCTACAAAGAATTGGGTTCTGGAGAAACCATCATTTACTGGCATTTTAAAGTACCATGAACCAGTATGCTGATATTTTATCGTCCAAAGAACAATTTAGCAACTCAAAAGCCCTATATAATGAAAATTATTATTGATAATAAGATCGAGTTGCTGTTGCTCGACAATTGAAGAACCTTTAAACTGTTTTGAGGGGTAGGTGACATTCCGGAAATACTGACAGTCACACTCGAGGAATCACTATTGACATTTAGTTAAAAAAAATGTATATAACAAAAATAGGCGGGGATGAAACTGGTAAACACTGAACCTAAAAAATGTTTTATTAAGAAACATATTTATAGGCCTATTATGTGTATTTATATATAGGCTACTTTATATTATCGTTTTACATGTGCATATAAAAATATGCATTCGACATCAGTTGTAAAATCCACATATAATCGCTACCGCTACAATAACACACTTCCAAAAGTGCCACTAACTTCAATTTACGCGTTTAAAACTCGAAGATTAATTCGTAAACACAACCCGAATGCAAAACAACAAACCCCTGAAAAAAAAAAAGACAAAACGTTTTACCTTCTGCAGCTTGTATAACGTTGACTTCCAGCCCCTTAAATGTTTTGCTCGCCAGCTCCTCCAGAGCGCATAACGGACAGACCATAATAATGAATTGGACCGAGAATAGGAGGAGTTTCCCCCTGAAGTTTAAAGAGAGGGGAGATGGCTCGGGATGTTTATGCATCTGTTGATGCATCCCACTCCCACTTAGGGCAAACCACGTGCTCCACGCGTATACCTCCCTGAAAAGGGAGAGTGCTCTCATTAACACCAATACTAGCCTTCTCTATATGTCAACGTGTCTGCGGATCTCTTCAATTCCAGAATAACAACAGCAACAATGTAAACTGTAAAATATAAATAAAACAATAAAATAAACATTTAACAAGGCATTAATTAACATTTAGAATTCAAGAGTTGTCCATAGCGGAACAACTTGAGAAAGACTAATTACTGTAATCCCATGATTATTGCCGTTTTGGAGGCAGTTATGACTGCATGATTTTCTCACACCTCGTGCAGGCTATCTGCTGTCACACGAGATCAGAATGCAAGGCATGTCATTGTTTCAGTCCTATAAAAATATTTTTGACTTGATTGCAAAACTGTATGGGCAAAGCAGCTCAGATGTAGATAATAATTATGTACTGTTAAAAATAAATACACAGTATTTTATATATAGCTTACAGTGTTGGTTTTGCCAATATCAGCGACTTTTTACAAGCAGTTGTTTTAAGCCTTTAAAATGCATATATTTTGCTGGTGGGGCATTTTTGTTCATTCTTAATGTAGCAGAAATTTAGCAAAGGCATACTATCCTAATAAAGCAGGATACTGACCAGTGTGATTTGTTTTAAAGGGTGATTTAAAAAAAATATGAGTTCCTCATTTTAATATTCTGAATAGTATTAACATTTATGAGAATGTTTACATTTAAACTGAGGACATATAGAGGACCAACATAAAATATTTCCGTAACATCTCAGTCAGTGCAGCACAGTGCCATTCTATGAATTTGTGAAAATGCACGTGGGTAAAGAGCAGAGAGCATGCAGCAGACTTACAGCAGTGCTGTTCTCACCCGCTCCGCGTCGGACTTTATTTCAGATGATGCTCGTGGGACACTGGAGAAGCTCAGTGAGCCTGCTATGAAGATGCAGGTAAGAAAAAATCGTGTTCTTGCTTTAGGAAAACACGAAATAGAAGAGATCGATGACTGGTGTAATGATACTTGACCTAAAAAAAGATCAACAAAATAAAATATTTTTTTCCAGACATTCTTGCACCGCATTTCGTGATTTCTTTGTGCTACAGTGAACTTATTATGCGATATTTTTTTCCCAGCTTGCTTTTTAACAAAATTAGCACAATACAAATATTTCTTATATATATAGGCCTAATATAATACATATTATATATAAAATCTTAAAGTTCTACATAAAGGCTATTAAGATTTTTATTTTTATGATCTTCTCACGAATATTTTTAAACAACATTCAGATGTATTCGCTTTGGATATTTTGCTGTTTGGTTTATTTCTAAAATAAAATAAAAAAATGTAAAATGTCTGCACAAAAATCATTTAGTATTTCGTCACAGATATAGCCCAGGCCTATTTAACTAAACAATCCAACAGTACCAAACAAAGGTACTTTCCTCTTAAACCTCGCTGAGGCCTTTAGACTAGTGGATATTTAGGTGGTCTTCCCATAAATGTAAAACATTAGGCAATAAAACAAGTAGCGATGCTGACATTTGATAATATTTAACAGGGTTTCAATAATCGATTAGGGTGATAGATGTCTCTCTTACACGAGTCATTGGCGATATATGGCCAGTTCGCAGGAATATCGCATTGTCCGTGCCAAGAGCACCATATGGTGACATCCGTCCAGGGACTGAAACGAGCCAAACAGCTCACGAGCACTAAAACAGCACGACATTCTATTAGTGTGGGTCGAGACCGCTCGACGTGGGCGACACGGAGCCAAACTATAATAGAATATTTTACGGCAAATGAGCAACAATGCACTGAACAAATGTATCTAACCAGACTACACAAAACATGCTAATGAGTCTACAGTAATGTCACAGTTTATCTTTATGATGTATGCTTTGGTGTATTTTTTTGTGCATGAATATATATATATGAATATTTCGTGTTTTACCAAAAATGTCACTTAAATTTCATTTAACTGACATTTTTGGTAAAAAAAATATATATAAATCATACAATAGGCTATAATAAGTATAAATAAGCAAGAGGCTGCGTGAGTTAAATGCGCAATAATAATAATAATAATAATAATAATAATAATAACTATTATTATTAGTCCAGTCGAGTTCAAATGTCCTGAACGAATTGGTCACCTCAGAATGTCAGGTCAGAGGAAAGCTGCTAAACCTATTAAATGATACTTGGGTATTAATGTAATGTGGAAGGATAGGATTTCTGATCGGGAGAGTGATGCCCTTCAGCGCCAACAATAGCACATTCGCATTACCCCACGGAGATACCGAAGCTGAACATGGTGTTACATTTCTCTCAAATGCGCGAGCATTATTAGTTCTAAAGATAATCCCGTCATCTCTCTTCTCCAAACCGCTCTGAGAGGATCCGGACGGTCTCAAGCGGAGCAGCGCTAATTCGAAAGGTTTTCTTTGGCCTAATTTGAAAGTTAATTAGAAACAGAACACCTGACATCATCAATCATCACGGCTTTAAGGGGAGCGGGGTTTTATTTTCGCCCAGTCCGTCCCTGCTCACTTCCCTCAGCAGACGAGGTGGCAGCGATCTGGAAACATTTATTCAGGATAATGCTACTGTGCACGAGATTACGTTAAATATATATATGATATATTTTTGAAACGTGCAACGATAGAATAAAATGGAATACAATTGAACAGAATTATATTATGGAATAAAACATGATTCCATAATAAAATAAAATGCAACAAGAAGAAAATTCAACAGTAGCCCTAGAATAAAACGGTTTTTTTTTTCTTCAGGTTTATTATTTTTATTTTTGACTTTTTTTGTGCAAATAAAAGTATGAAATGCAATATTAAATGCAATATGCACATTATTGATTATTGTATATACTATTAAATACATTACACATGTAATATTAAAATATGCTAAATACATTTGATATTGGAGAAGATTAGCTTCTTTTAAGTTAAGTTTTTCTCCTTATTTTTCTCGACAAAATAAAGAATTTCAGAAACACTGAATTGTCTGATTCCTTAACAGATTTAGTCTTCAATGTAGACGATTAGATTTCATTTTAACTAGCCATAAAAAAAGAAAGCTCAGCTGTTGACTGAGATTAAATATAGGCAGTTCTCATAAAATATCACAGTAACACCTCAAATGTCTCCACTGCATTGCACTTTAAGATAGGCTCGTTTCTGTTAACATTGCTCGCCTCTCTCTCACCCAAACAGCTGTAGGCCTACTAACTACTGTATAAACATGATACGGGGACATACGTGGAGCCAAGCGGTGACATTTGACTGTGATGAACCTATCGGGTGTGTTGTGTAGTGAGGTGTTACTCTGGCTCTGTGCCGTTTATTTCCCAAATACCCTCTTGGCATAGTTTGATCCCACATGCATTGATAACAAATCTATATAAATATGAAAAGATAATATTTTTATTAAAATATATAAAGGAATTTACTCTAAAATTCAGAATTATAATGTCAAATAAATCCTGATATATGTTCCGGTCGGTTTAAATTAAGAAGTAAGAATGAGGTCAATTGTCTCGTGTCTATGAAGCTGTAAATCCAAGCAGTGTGATTGACACGTTCTTTCATTATAGCTATTGAGCTGTAAACCAATCATGTCGACGTTTGGTTGCTCTCAACAAAACAACACCACAAAAACGGCCTGTACAAACGCACATCAGCTATTAGGCCTCCAATATGATCCTAATGATCAAAGCATACCAGTACGTATATAGCATATATTATGTGCATAATATTAACAACACGCACTCTCAAATAAAATAATATGTGCAGCTGTTATTGCCGTTTAATACTCAGAAAAGTGTACTAAAGCTGTGACTGGGACAGTACCTTTTCAAAAGTGCACCTTTGTTCCTTATTTACGGCCAAAGTGTGCCCCACTTTTTTTGATTATTTAATTTATGATTTATTTTGGATTATTTAATGTATTATCCATTTCGGATTATTTAATTTAAACTAAGGTTAAAATTTGTTGCAGAAGCGCAGGACTATTGGTGGATGTAATGAGCTAATCGATGTAGTCCTGAGTGTTAATTGTGTTTAATAATGTCATATGGATGAGTGTTTCGTCCAGTTTGACAAGCTCAAGTCAATTAAGGAGCAGTAAAATCGAAAATCCATTATGGTGAGGCGCGTGCACATTTGATGGTCACAGGTTAATTGCGCGCGCAGGTTGATGGCTGACGGCGCAGTGAAGGTGTCCAAACAGCTCTCATTATTACCGAGGCACTTCTGTCTAAAAACAATATAATCAAAGCGTCAGAGTCGCCTGCTGTTTTACATCCCATGTTGCTTTTGATGGTGTCATGTTCAGCGGTATTTAGTACCTGTTGATGTTTTCTCTTTCTGTGGATGACAAATGCCCCGGCTCCCCAAAGCGCACGCACCCTCCCCAACAGCCGCAAACCCCGGACAAACGGACGCGCGGATCAAAGGCTTGGACCCCACCAGAGCAGTGTTGCACCCCGCCAGCGCGCCACTGGGGTCGGGTCCAGATCATAAAAAGGGCTGTGAGGGGCACGACTCCTGGAGGGGATTATGGAGCTTTTCGCCGCGAGTTCCGAAAAAGAGCAGCGAAGGTGTGAACAGGAGGAAATGGATTCGTCCTCGCTGATAAACGCAGTTATTTGGATAGATCGTCAAGGCGTGGGAATTCGATGGAGGTCACTGCTCTTTACCAAACGAAGGTGCAATAAATCATTTCACTTACTTACGTTTTTGTAAGCACAAATACATAATAACATCAAAAGAGTATAGATGCTACAGTGTATATAACAAAATAATAACGAATATACATCCAGACAATAAAACCGCTTCTACTGTTACCTCAAGCTCTTCGGTTTGTCCAAT